CATCCTCGTAACCCTCTTTCCTTTCCGCCCTTCTCTCTCCTTCCCTCCGTGGCGGTTTGATCAAGCGGACTGGAATCTTTTCATGCTCTAAGCTCCCTCTCTCCACCCCGTCTTATCTGCCTCTCCTGAGCCCTCGTGTTTTCCCCGACACATTAGACGCCGCCCTCTCCTGATCTTCGTTACGCCTCCTGTGAAAGTGCATTTCCTTGTGATATTAGGATTGTGCTCGGGCACAATCTGTGTGTTAATAACACAATTATTATTGTGTTTAACTCACTGTCAGCATGCAGCCTGGAAGTGCTCGGACTGTATGCTGTCAGCATGTTGTGATCTGTACACAGACAATAGCATCTCCCCTTCCCTCTTCCCCCCCTCCCCTTGGCCCTTTCCTGTCATAAACGGTTGGAGTCAAAGTTTCCCTTAGTCAAGTGAGACCTTCGCAGGCCACTTGTCCCCTCCTTACCAATCCTTGCCACCAATATGCCCAATCCCCCTCCAATCATTTCCCCTCTTCCTCCTGTCTCCGCTTGCCAGTGACCAATCGAGGAGCAGTAAAACTCAGCGCCATAAAACTATGTTCTCAAAGTTCCTCTCGGGTGGCTGGCCAGACGAGGCTCGTCCCCACCAGCTGGTTGTAACTGCTTGTTTCCTATTGACATGAGAAGACGGCTCCGGCCAGTGTCAGGCTGTTCACTGGCCAAGAGCAGCGGCCTTTGTTTCATTGGTTAGTGATGCCAGGGTGCTAGGCCTGGGGCCTCAAGTGATTGGAGTAAGAGGCGGAGTCTCCCAGGGTAAGGCCGGGCAGCCATTGGCCAAGGGGACCAGAGTATCCAGCTTTGGTGTGAATTGATTGGCGCTCCAAGCCCGGAGCCTCACTCGGGGGAAGAACCATAGGTCTCCCTGAGGTTGTCAAAGCATTGTCACCACCACCACCTAGCTACCCCCCCCCCCCCTTACTCACTCAACCCCAGCTTGTCAAGGCTGCAACATCACTAACCCTCACTGAACTATCTTGAGATGATTTCGGGGCTTTAGTGTCCCCGCGGCCCGGTCCTCGACCAGGCCTCCACCCCCAGGAAGCAGCCCGTGACAGCTGACTAACACCCAGGTACCTATTTTACTGCTAGGTAACAGGGGCATAGGGTGAAAAACTCTTCCCATTGTTTCTCGCCGGCGCCTGGGATCGAACCCAGGATCACAAGTCCAGCGTGCTGTCCGCTCGGTCGACCGGCTCCCTCTTACTACCCGCTAATATTAAACTGAAATATTAAATGGCAGAAGCCACAACAACATAAAAGGGTTATTAATTTAAATAATGAATAATACTTCACAATTGACGACCGCCGCCGCCACCTTCCTGAGGTGACGCGCCTGTATTACAGCTCTCAGGATGGACAGACCCGCCACCTTCCTGACCTGACGCGCCTGTATTACAGCTCTCAGGATGGACAGACCCGCCACCTTCCTGACCTGACGCGCCTGTATTACAGCTCTCAGGATGGACAGACCCGCCACCTTCCTGACCTGACGCGCCTGTATTACAGCTCTCAGGATGGACAGACCCGCCACCTTCCTGACCTGACGCGCCTGTATTACAGCTCTCAGGATGGACAGACCCGCCACCTTCCTGACCTGACGCGCCTGTATTACAGCTCTCAGGATGGACAGACCCGCCACCTTCCTGACCTGACGCGCCTGTATTACAGCTCTCAGGATGGACAGACCCGCCACCTTCCTGACCTGACGCGCCTGTATTACAGCTCTCAGGATGGACAGACGGCAAGAATTATGAAACTTGAAGGTCGTAGGAATCTTGGCAATAATCCTTGGGAATTAATTGTATAAAAATCTTGACTTATTGAGGCTTCAAGAGCAACTCTAATATCCATGATATGGAGAACACAGGGGGAGGGGGGGGCGGGGAGGTGGTGGGGGGGGGAGGGGGATTTCCAGTACAGGCTATTAACACAACATATAAAAAACGACTCGGCATTAATAAAAAAAAAGGAGGGAACAGATAACTAAACAACAAAATACATTAATGAACTTTATTGAAGGAAGATACGTATATTTATATCAAGTTGAAAAATATTCTTCTCTGTGTATATCTGTGAGAGGCAAGAGTAATCTACCGATGGACACGAGAACTCCGGCGCACATTACCTTATCCTGCAAGACCCGCCACAGGTGATGACTGGCCACTCGCCTGGGGCCAGATTCACGAAGCAGTTACGCAATCACTTACGAACGTGTACATCTTTCCTCAATCTTTGACGGCTTTGGTTACATTAAACAGTTTACAAGCATGAAAACTTGCCAATCAACTGTTGTTATTGTTATAAACAGCCTCCTGGTGCTTCCGAGCTCATTAACTGTTTAATAATTGTAAACAAAGCCGCCAAAGATTGAGGAAAGATATACACGTTCGTAAGTGCTTTCGTGAATCTGGCCCCAGGTCACCGGTCCTGCCTCAAGTCAACCCACACACACACTGACTAAAATGTCCTTTGACAACCTCAGGGAGACCTATGGTTCTTCCCCCGAGTGAGGCTCCGGGCTTGTAGCGCCAATCAATTCACACCAAAGCTGGATACTCTGGTCCCCTTGGCCAATGGCTGCCCTGCCTTACCCTGGTGGACTCCGCCTCTTACTCCAATCACTTGAGGCCCCAGGCCTAGCACCCTGGCATCACTAACCAATGAAACAAAAGGCCGCTGCTCTTGGCCAGTGAACAGCCTGACACTGGCCGGAGCCGTCTTCTCATGTCAACAGGAAACAAGCAGTTACAACCAGCTGGTGTGGACGAGCCTCGTCTGGCCAGCCACCCGAGAGGAACTTTGAGAACATAGTTTTATGGCACCGAGTTTTACTGCTCCTCGATTGGTCACTGGCAAGCGGAGACAGGAGGAAGAGGGGAAACGATTGGAGGGGGGCGGATTGGTGGCAAGGATTGGGGAGGGGACAAGTGGCCTGCGAAGGTCTCACTTGACTAAGGGAAACTTTGACGCCAACCGTTTATGACAGGAAAGAGCCAATTGAGACTGACCAAGGAAGGGGAGAAGCTATGGTCTGTGTACGGCTCATTACATGCACGCAGCCTTGAAGTGCTCGGGCTGTACGCTGTCAGCATGCTGAGCTTCGACTTTTACCCCTCAGGTGGGGGCCCTGAGCCCTTACCCCTCAGGTGGGGGCCCTGAGCCCTTACCCCTCAGGTGGGGGCCCTGAGCCCTTACCCCTCAGGTGGGGGCCCTGAGCCCTTACCCCTCAGGTGGGGGCCCTGAGCCCTTACCCCTCAGGTGGGGGGGCCCCTGAGCCCTTACCCCTCAGGTGGGGCCTTGAGCCCTTTCACCACCTTCCTTCCTCTGTAAGAATGTTTCACTTGCATGCTTCCCTCTCGGGGTCGTGTTTACAATGTGTCTCCTCGTGTTCCATCATTGTCCCCAGGGAGAGTCCCACTTCTCAAGGTTAGGACCTTGACCCACAAGGTAAAGGTCTCTACCCCTCTTAATGTTATGTAATACCTTTTCCTTAAACCCTTTTCTTTGCACTCAAACTCCGTTTCCCCTATTCACAGATGGGTCTAAGTCTGCCGACGGTGTTGGCTAAGTCGACGTTCCTTTATCATCGTGGTTTGACTTTCGCAATTCTCTCGTGGCTCTCGACTTACTTAACCCTATGCATCATAAGGGAGTAAAACTCCAGTTGAGTTTTGCCTGGTTCCGCCCAACACGGCGTTACCTCAAGTGTCCACTGTGCTAAGGAAGCTATCTGCACTTGTCCTATTTCCCAAAAAGGTATTCCTTATTGAGATTTCCACCCAGTCATTCATTCATCAATCTGAAACCGTCGGCAGGGTCATTAGTCTGGTGTTACAAGTAAAAAGTTACTCTTAAAGGTAGCCCGTCCCCTTGGCCTTCCTGCTGCTATTGTATACGGCGGTGGGAAACGGCTCTGGCTAGGTCCCATATTCTCCATACACCATTGAGTCACAGGCACTTAATGGAACACTGCCCAACACTATTGTTCGAACGGCATTGTCCCACTTACACTTACGGACCTCCTGGTAGAATGTCCCAATTTTCAGGACAATTGTGTGCCTTGCTTAATGTCCCGGAAGGACTCTTGTCCCTCGACAAAATCCTCAGTGACTCTGCTGCTTTTGACTCCGCTCACTTTATGGACTTAAGTTCTTGTACTGAGACCCTCGGTAACATTTAGCACCTGCTGACCATCCAGCGACACTGACAGTGCTACGTAGTCTACTCAGCTTGGGGCTTTTTGATAATACCTCACAACATACACCGCTTGGTTCGTCTGACCAATCAGAAGTTGTCTAACAGATAAAATTACTACTTACCATTATAATAAACTGACCAATGACACATCTGATTCATGAGTGTTTGACTGTGATTGGCCAGCAAGTGAACATGAGAGAGAAACATGGGAGGGAACGGTCGTGTCTCAGCGCCTCCCAACACCACTAAACATTCCTTTACTAAACAGTTTCCTAGGAAAAAAAGGCTAAAAAATCCAGAAAGTCCCAAAACCCCACACAAACATGACACCAAGACGCTTTTAGGAACACTTGGGGAGTAATAATTGGTCATGTTTACCAGGCAGGTGAGAGAGGGAAGGTGAGCGAGGGAAGATGAGTGAGGGAAGGAGGGGAGGTGAGAGAGGGGAGGTGAGAGAGGGGAGGTGAGAGAGGGGAGGTGAGAGAGGGGAGGTGAGAGAGGGAAGGTGAGAGAGGGAAGGTGAGAGAGGGAAGGTGAGAGAGGGGAGGTGAGAGAGGGGAGGTGAGAGAGGGGAGGTGAGAGAGGGGAGGTGAGAGAGGGGAGGTGAGAGAGGGGAGGTGAGAGAGGGGAGGTGAGTGAGGAAAGGAGGGGAGGTGAGAGGGGGGAGGTGAGAGGGGGGAGGTGAGAGGGGGGAGGTGAGAGAGGGGAGGTGAGAGAGGGGAGATGAGAGGGGACACATGCAGAGGACACAGGGGCCCTACACACCTGCTGCTTCACGCTATCCTTCACGTGTCCCAGGAGGCAGACGGCCCGCGCCAGGCACATGTGCGACACACTTGCCCACACCTGCCCCGCTACACACGTGGCCCGACCAAAGCACTCCTGCGTGAGACAACCTGACTCAGTATGCTCCAGCTCCTGGTCCCCCGCTCCGGCACCTCTGCCACGGGTTCTCTCTCTCCCATTATGACACACAACACGTGTCCCAGACCACGTGTTGTGTGTGTGTGTCCTAGACCACGTGTTGTGTGTGTGTGTCCTAGACCACGTGTTGCGTGTGTGTGTCCTAGACCACGTGTTGCGTGTGTGTGTCCTAGACCACGTGTTGCGTGTGTGTGTCCTAGACCACGTGTTGCGTGTGTGTGTCCTAGACCACGTGTTGCGTGTGTGTGTCCTAGACCACGTGTTGCGTGTGTGTGTCCTAGACCACGTGTTGCGTGTGTGTGTCCTAGACCACGTGTTGCGTGTGTGTGTCCTAGACCACGTGTTGCGTGTGTGTGTCCTAGACCACGTGTTGCGTGTGTGTCCTAGACCCCGTGTGTGTCCTAGACCCCGTGTGTGTCCTAGACCCCGTGTGTGTCCTAGACCCCGTGTGTGTCCTAGACCCCGTGTGTGTCCTAGACCCCGTGTGTGTCCTAGACCCCGTGTTGCGTGTCCTAGACCACGTGTTGTGTGTGTGTCCTAGACCACGTGTTGCGTGTGTCCTAGACCACGTGTTGCGTGTGTCCTAGACCACGTGTTGCGTGTCCTAGACCACGTGTTGCGTGTCCTAGACCACGTGTTGCGTGTCCTAGACCACGTGTTGCGTGTCCTAGACCACGTGTTGCGTGTCCTAGACCACGTGTTGCGTGTCCTAGACCACGTGTTGCGTGTCCTAGACCACGTGTTGCGTGTCCTAGACCACGTGTTGCGTGTCCTAGACCACGTGTTGCGTGTGTGTCCTAGACCACGTGTTGCGTGTGTGTCCTAGACCACGTGTTGCGTGTGTGTCCTAGACCACGTGTTGCGTGTGTGTCCTAGACCACGTGTTGCGTGTGTGTCCTAGACCACGTGTTGCGTGTGTGTCCTAGACCACGTGTTGCGTGTGTGTCCTAGACCACGTGTTGCGTGTGTGTCCTAGACCACGTGTTGCGTGTGCGTCCTAGACCACGTGTTGTCTGTGCGTCCTAGACCACGTGTTGTCTGTGCGTCCTAGACCACGTGTTGTCTGTGCGTCCTAGACCACGTGTTGTCTGTGCGTCCTAGACCACGTGTTGTCTGTGCGTCCTAGACCACGTGTTGTCTGTGCGTCCTAGACCACGTGTTGTCTGTGCGTCCTAGACCACGTGTTGTCTGTGCGTCCTAGACCACGTGTTGTCTGTGCGTCCTAGACCACGTGTTGTCTGTGCGTCCTAGACCACGTGTTGTCTGTGCGTCCTAGACCACGTGTTGTCTGTGCGTCCTAGACCACGTGTTGTCTGTGCGTCCTAGACCACGTGTTGTCTGTGCGTCCTAGACCACGTGTTGTCTGTGCGTCCTAGACCACGTGTTGTCTGTGCGTCCTAGACCACGTGTTGTCTGTGCGTCCTAGACCACGTGTTGTCTGTGCGTCCTAGACCACGTGTTGTCTGTGCGTCCTAGACCACGTGTTGTCTGTGCGTCCTAGACCACGTGTTGTCTGTGCGTCCTAGACCACGTGTTGTCTGTGCGTCCTAGACCACGTGTTGTCTGTGCGTCCTAGACCACGTGTTGTCTGTGCGTCCTAGACCACGTGTTGTCTGTGCGTCCTAGACCACGTGTTGTCTGTGCGTCCTAGACCACGTGTTGTCTGTGCGTCCTAGACCACGTGTTGTCTGTGCGTCCTAGACCACGTGTTGTCTGTGCGTCCTAGACCACGTGTTGTCTGTGCGTCCTAGACCACGTGTTGTCTGTGCGTCCTAGACCACGTGTTGTCTGTGCGTCCTAGACCACGTGTTGTCTGTGCGTCCTAGACCACGTGTTGTCTGTGTGTCCTAGACCACGTGTTGTCTGTGTGTCCTAGACCACGTGTTGTCTGTGTGTCCTAGACCACGTGTTGTCTGTGTGTCCTAGACCACGTGTTGTCTGTGTGTCCTAGACCACGTGTTGTGTGTGTGTCCTAGACCACGTGTTGTGTGTGTGTCCTAGACCACGTGTTGTGTGTGTGTCCTAGACCACGTGTTGTGTGTGTGTCCTAGACCACGTGTTGTGTGTGTGTCCTAGACCACGTGTTGTGTGTGTGTCCTAGACCACGTGTTGTGTGTGTGTCCTAGACCACGTGTTGTGTGTGTGTCCTAGACCACGTGTTGTGTGTGTGTCCTAGACCACGTGTTGTGTGTGTGTCCTAGACCACGTGTTGTGTGTGTGTCCTAGACCACGTGTTGTGTGTGTGTCCTAGACCACGTGTTGTGTGTGTGTCCTAGACCACGTGTTGTGTGTGTGTCCTAGACCACGTGTTGTGTGTGTGTCCTAGACCACGTGTTGTGTGTGTGTCCTAGACCACGTGTTGTGTGTGTGTCCTAGACCACGTGTTGTGTGTGTGTCCTAGACCACGTGTTGTGTGTGTGTCCTAGACCACGTGTGTGTGTGTGTGTCCTAGACCACGTGTTGTGTGTGTGTCCTAGACCACGTGTTGTGTGTGTGTCCTAGACCACGTGTTGTGTGTGTGTCCTAGACCACGTGTTGTGTGTGTGTCCTAGACCACGTGTTGTGTGTGTGTCCTAGACCACGTGTTGTGTGTGTGTCCTAGACCACGTGTTGTGTGTGTGTCCTAGACCACGTGTTGTGTGTGTGTCCTAGACCACGTGTTGTGTGTGTGTCCTAGACCACGTGTTGTGTGTGTGTCCTAGACCACGTGTTGTGTGTGTGTCCTAGACCACGTGTTGTGTGTGTGTCCTAGACCACGTGTTGTGTGTGTGTCCTAGACCACGTGTTGTGTGTGTGTCCTAGACCACGTGTTGTTGTGTTGTGTGTCCTAGACCACGTGTGTGTGTGTGTCCTAGACCACGTGTTTGTGTGTGTGTCCTAGACCACGTGTTGTGTGTGTGTGTCCTAGACCACGTGTTGTGTGTGTGTCCTAGACCACGTGTTGTGTGTGTGTCCTAGACCACGTGTGTGTGTGTGTGTCCTAGACCACGTGTTGTTGTGTGTGTGTCCTAGACCACGTGTTGTGTGTGTGTCCTAGACCACGTGTTGTGTGTGTGTGTGTCCTAGACCACGTGTTGTGTGTGTGTGTGTCCTAGACCACGTGTTGTGTGTGTGTGTGTCCTAGACCACGTGTTGTGTGTGTGTCCTAGACCACGTGTTGTGTGTGTGTCCTAGACCACGTGTTGTGTGTGTGTCCTAGACCACGTGTTGTGTGTGTGTCCTAGACCACGTGTTGTGTGTGTGTCCTAGACCACGTGTTGTGTGTGTGTCCTAGACCACGTGTTGTGTGTGTGTCCTAGACCACGTGTTGTGTGTGTGTCCTAGACCACGTGTTGTGTGTGTGTCCTAGACCACGTGTTGTGTGTGTGTCCTAGACCACGTGTTGTGTGTGTGTCCTAGACCACGTGTTGTGTGTGTGTCCTAGACCACGTGTTGTGTGTGTGTCCTAGACCACGTGTTGTGTGTGTGTCCTAGACCACGTGTTGTGTGTGTGTCCTAGACCACGTGTTGTGTGTGTGTCCTAGACCACGTGTTGTGTGTGTGTCCTAGACCACGTGTTGTGTGTGTGTCCTAGACCACGTGTTGTGTGTGTGTCCTAGACCACGTGTTGTGTGTGTGTCCTAGACCACGTGTTGTGTGTGTGTCCTAGACCACGTGTTGTGTGTGTGTCCTAGACCACGTGTTGTGTGTGTGTCCTAGACCACGTGTTGTGTGTGTGTCCTAGACCACGTGTTGTGTGTGTGTCCTAGACCACGTGTTGTGTGTGTGTCCTAGACCACGTGTTGTGTGTGTGTCCTAGACCACGTGTTGTGTGTGTGTCCTAGACCACGTGTTGTGTGTGTGTCCTAGACCACGTGTTGTGTGTGTGTCCTAGACCACGTGTTGTGTGTGTGTCCTAGACCACGTGTTGTGTGTGTGTCCTAGACCACGTGTTGTGTGTGTGTCCTGTGTGTGTGTGTCCTAGACCACGTGTTGTGTGTGTGTCCTAGACCACGTGTTGTGTGTGTGTCCTAGACCACGTGTTGTGTGTGTGTCCTAGACCACGTGTTGTGTGTGTGTCCTAGACCACGTGTTGTGTGTGTGTCCTAGACCACGTGTTGTGTGTGTGTCCTAGACCACGTGTTGTGTGTGTGTCCTAGACCACGTGTTGTGTGTGTGTCCTAGACCACGTGTTGTGTGTGTCCTAGACCACGTGTTGTGTGTGTTGTGTGTGTGTCCTAGACCACGTGTTGTGTGTGTGTCCTAGACCACGTGTTGTGTGTGTGTCCTAGACCACGTGTTGTGTGTGTGTCCTAGACCACGTGTTGTGTGTGTGTCCTAGACCACGTGTTGTGTGTGTGTCCTAGACCACGTGTTGTGTGTGTGTCCTAGACCACGTGTTGCGTGTGTGTCCTAGACCACGTGTTGCGTGTTGCGTGTGTGTCCTAGACCACGTGTTGCGTGTGTGTCCTAGACCACGTGTTGCGTGTGTGTCCTAGACCACGTGTTGCGTGTGTGTCCTAGACCACGTGTTGCGTGTGTGTCCTAGACCACGTGTTGCGTGTGTGTCCTAGACCACGTGTTGCGTGTGTGTCCTAGACCACGTGTTGCGTGTGTGTCCTAGACCACGTGTTGCGTGTGTGTCCTAGACCACGTGTTGCGTGTGTGTCCTAGACCACGTGTTGCGTGTGTGTCCTAGACCACGTGTTGCGTGTGTGTCCTAGACCACGTGTTGCGTGTGTGTCCTAGACCACGTGTTGCGTGTGTGTCCTAGACCACGTGTTGCGTGTGTGTCCTAGACCACGTGTTGCGTGTGTGTCCTAGACCACGTGTTGCGTGTGTGTCCTAGACCACGTGTTGCGTGTGTGTCCTAGACCACGTGTTGCGTGTGTGTCCTAGACCACGTGTTGCGTGTGTGTCCTAGACCACGTGTTGCGTGTGTGTCCTAGACCACGTGTTGCGTGTGTGTCCTAGACCACGTGTTGCGTGTGTGTCCTAGACCACGTGTTGCGTGTGTGTCCTAGACCACGTGTTGCGTGTGTGTCCTAGACCACGTGTTGCGTGTGTGTCCTAGACCACGTGTTGTGTGTGTGTCCTAGACCACGTGTTGTGTGTGTGTCCTAGACCACGTGTTGTGTGTGTGTCCTAGACCACGTGTTGGGTGTGTGTCCTAGACCACGTGTTGCGTGTGTGTCCTAGACCACGTGTTGCGTGTGTGTCCTAGACCACGTGTTGCGTGTGTGTCCTAGACCACGTGTTGCGTGTGTGTCCTAGACCACGTGTTGCGTGTGTGTCCTAGACCACGTGTTGCGTGTGTGTCCTAGACCACGTGTTGCGTGTGTGTCCTAGACCATGTGTTGTGTGTGTGTCCTAGACCACGTGTTGCGTGTGTGTCCTAGACCATGTGTTGTCTGTGTTGTGTGTGTGTGTCCTAGACCACGTGTTGCGTGTCCTAGACCACGTGTTGTGTGTGTGTCCTAGACCATGTGTTGTGTGTGTGTCCTAGACCATGTGTTGTCTGTGTGTCCTAGACCACGTGTTGTGTGTGTGTGTCCTAGACCACGTGTTGCGTGTCCTAGACCACGTGTTGTGTGTGTGTCCTAGACCAGGTGTTGTGTGTGTGTCCTAGACCATGTGTTGTGTGTGTGTCCTAGACCATGTGTTGTGTGTGTGTCCTAGACCATGTGTTGTGTGTGTGTCCTAGACCATGTGTTGTGTGTGTGTCCTAGACCATGTGTTGTGTGTGTGTGTCCTAGACCATGTGTTGTGTGTGTGTGTCCTAGACCATGTGTTGTGTGTGTGTGTCCTAGACCATGTGTTGCGTGTGTGTCCTAGACCACGTGTTGCGTGTGTGTCCTAGACCATGTGTTGTGTGTGTCCTAGACCACGTGTTGTGTGTGTGTCCTAGACCACGTGTTGTGTGTGTGTCCTAGACCACGTGTTGTGTGTGTCCGTCCTAGACCACGTGTTGTGTGTGTCCGTCCTAGACCACGTGTTGTGTGTGTCCGTCCTAGACCACGTGTTGTGTGTGTGTCCCAGACATTTATGAGAGAGGGCCACAACCCTCAGGAGGTTGTGAGAGGGCCACAACCCCACAGGAGGTTGTGAGAGAGGGCCACAACCCCCAGGAGGTTGTGAGAGGGCCACAATCCCACAGGAGGTTGTGAGAGGGCCACAACCCCACAGGAGGTTGTGAGAGAGGGCCACAACCCCACAGGAGGTTGTGAGAGAGGCCACAACCCCACAGGAGGTTGAGAGAGAGCCACAACCCCACAGGAGGTTGTGAGAGAGGGCCACAACCCCCAGGAGGTTGTGAGAGAGGCCACAACCCCACAGGAGGTTGTGAGAGGGGCCACAACCCCCAGGAGGTTGTGAGAGAGGGCCACAACCCCACAGGAGGTTGTGAGAGGGGCCACAACCCCAGGAGGTTGTGAGAGAGGGCCACAACCCCACAGGAGGTTGTGAGAGAGGGCCACAACCCTCAGGAGGTTGTGAGAGAGGACCACAACCCCCAGGAGGTTGTGAGAGAGGGCCACAACCCCCAGGAGGTTGTGAGAGAGGGCCACAAATCCCAGGAGGTTGTGAGAGAGGACCACAACCCCCAGGAGGTTGTGAGAGAGGGCCACAACCCCCAGGAGGTTGTGAGAGAGGGCCACAACCCCCAGGAGGTTGTGAGAGAGGGCCACAACCCCCAGGAGGTTGTGAGAGAGGGCCACAACCCCCAGGAGGTTGTGAGAGGGGGCCACAACCCCCAGGAGGTTGTGAGAGAGGGCCACAACCCCCATGAGGTTGTGAGAGAGGGCCACAACCCCATTGGAGGTTGTGAGAGAGGCCACAACCCTACAGGAGGTTGTGAGAGAGGGCCACAACCCCATTGGAGGTTGTGAGAGAGGCCACAACCCCCAGGAGGTTGTGAGAGAGGGCCACAACCCCACAGGAGGTTGTGAGAGGGCCACAACCCCACAGGAGGTTGTGAGAGGGCCAGAACCCCACAGGAGGTTGTGAGAGAGACCACAACCCCACAGGAGGTTGTGAGAGAGGCCACAACCCCACAGGAGGTTGTGAGAGAGGGCCACAACCCCACAGGAGGTTGTGAGAGGGCCACAACCCCACAGGAGGTTGTGAGAGAGACCACAACCCCACAGGAGGTTGTGAGAGAGACCACAACCCCACAGGAGGTTGTGAGAGAGGCCACAACCCCACAGGAGGTTGTGAGAGAGGGCCACAACCCCACAGGAGGTTGTGAGAGGGCCACAACCCCACAGGAGGTTGTGAGAGAGACCACAACCCCACAGGAGGTTGTGAGAGAGGCCACAACCCCACAGGAGGTTGTGAGAGGGGCCACAACCCCCAGGAGGTTGTGAGAGAGGGCCACAACCCCACAGGAGGTTGTGAGAGGGCCACAACCCCCAGGAGGTTGTGAGAGAGGGCCACAACCCCACAGGAGGTTGTGAGAGAGGGCCACAACCCCCAGGAGGTTGTGAGAGAGGGTGTTGTGGCACAGTAACAACTTCACAATCACAAGAGGTGTTCGTGTCTACCAATACTAACCTTGCCGTTGTGGTGCGAGTGTGGGGCTGACAGATGACTCCCATGGTTGGCTGTGGGTGTGGGCAGGAAGGTTGTGGGTGAGGGTGGGTGGTGGTGCAGGTGGGGGAGGTGCAGGTGGTGGCTGGTTGTGAGGTGGGTTGTGGTAGCGGTTGTGCTAGAGTCACTGTTGGCTAGACTGAAGGTGAAGGTATGGTCGCGGGCGGGGGACGGAGCTGTGAGGCTCAGGTGGGTGGGGGTGGGTGGGTGGGTGGGCGTGGGTGCGGGCGTCAGGGTGTGGGCGTGGAGGGAGGACGGGGCCAGGTTGTGGGCGGAGGTGGGCGGGTCTGGAGGCGCCCACGTCTCTTCAATACGGAGCTGTATGCAGGCGAGCGACGCCGCCTCCTCCTTGCTGCACGCTAACTCTCCGCTCACCACCAGCTCCTGCAGCTGTAAGGCAAACACACACACGCATTACTGACCGCCCCAGCACAGCATACTCCCCCAGTATAGTCCCCCAGCACAGTATAGTCCCCCAGCACAGTATAGTCCCAGTATAGTCCCCAGCACAGTATAGTCCCCCAGTATAGTCCCCAGCACAGTATAGTCCCCCAGTATAGTCCCCAGCACAGTATAGTCCCCCAGTATAGTCCCCAGCACAGTATAGTCCCCCAGTATAGTCCTCAGCACAGTATAGTCCCCCAGTATAGTCCTCAGCACAGTATAGTCCCCCAGTATAGTCCCCCAGCACAGTATAGTCCCCCAGTATAGGCCTCAGCACAGTATAGTCCCCCAGTATAGTCCCCCAGCACAGCATAGTCCCCCAGCACAGCACAATAAAAGTATTAAAGTGACCATTAGTTCCTGGAGTCAGGAGTCAGCTCTCAGGGTGTCACTCCGTCCATAAAACTAGTACCCAGAACCTAAAGTTTACTCTGGATAGTTACACATTGTATGTAAATGCTCTGTAAAAGACAAAATGGACTAATTTATATAAGGTATAAATAGCGTTCGGTTCAACAGGAATATAAAGAGATGAGAAACTATGAGAGATCCGGTATCACGGGGCGGATGACGCGGCAAGCAGGTCAGTCGCCGACCAGACGTCACGGGGAGAGGACGCGTCAACTGACCGTCTTCATTTCATAGATTAAGTAATAATTGTAAATATGAAGCAATAAGATGCTTATCTTAACATACTAAGAAGGTTAGGCAAGGTCGGTGTTTTCTATGAAGCTGTTAAAGGTAAACTAAAATATTCACAATTAGTATGTCACATATGCACTTATTAAATAAGCCAATATTGACTTTAAGCTAGTGCGAGAACGGGTTTTAACGGGTTACATTCTGCCAGACATTCAGACAAGCCACAATGTTGTATTTGTTAAAGTTGCAGGAGACTCTAAAGTAGTTTGAGCGATAGGTTCCAGGTTTCCTAATATATTCTTAATTTTACCATTACCAGACTAATTATTAATATATATGTGTGGAGGTCCATAAGGAATATGAGTTTCTTCTGGATATTTTACTCTGTTATATTTAGTTAATTGTTTGTAAATGTATCTATATATACCAGCTGTACCCGGCCACGCGTTGCTGTGGCTCAACCATAGCAATTTTCCCTGTCCCCTCAGTCCTCCCCACCATACCCGCCCTCCACACCCGTCCCCTCGTCCTCCCACCATACCCCCCCTCCACACCCGTCCCCTCGTCCTCCCACCATACCCCCCTCCACACCCGTCCCCTCGTCCTCCCCCACCATACCCCCCCTCCACACCCGTCCCCTCGTCCTCCCACCATACCCCGCCCTCCACACCTGTCCCCTCGTCCTCCCACCATACCCGCCCTCCACACCTGTCCCCTCGTCCTCCCACCATACCCCCCCTCCACACCCGTCCCCTCGTCCTCCCCACCATACCCCCCTCCACACCTGTCCCCTCGTCCTCCCCACCATACCCCCCCTCCACACCCGTCCCCTCGTCCTCCCCACCATACCCCCCCCCCCCTCCACACCCGTCCCCTCGTCCTCCCACCATACCCCCCTCCACACCCGTCCCCTCGTCCTCCCACCATACCCCCCTCCACACCCGTCCCCTCGTCCTCCCCACCATACCCCCCCTCCACACCCGTCCCCTCGTCCTCCCACCATACCCCCCCTCCACACCTGTCCCCTCGTCCTCCCACCATACCCCCCCTCCACACCCGTCCCCTCGTCCTCCCACCATACCCCCCCTCCACACCCGTCCCCTCGTCCTCCCCACCATACCCCCCCTCCACACCCGTCCCCTCGTCCTCCCACCATTCCCCACTCCCTCGTCCGATACCTTCCCAAATGGTCTGATGTTCCCATCACTGAAATTTTATGAAAAAAATTAAAAAATTAAATGAAAATATGAAAAAATAAAATATTAACTATATTCACAAAATGAACGGTATGGTAAACAACACAGCTCAATTCCAATACAATGGCACATAAAATACAATAAAAATAAAATAAATCAAAAACTTTTAAAAATAAAATGTAACACCACTCTATTGTAACACCACCCTAAAATGTACCACTATAATGGAACACCACTATAATGGAACACTACTTATCCTGAGTAACACTTCCTCATCGGTTGCACTTGATAACACTGTTATGAGCTGACATATGATGGTTACACCGGAACCAAAGGTACACTGCCAATAAGGAAATGCTAACACAAGGATTAAATACGCTGCCACCATCTGCCTTTGACCATTGAAACTATATCAAGCAACGAGGCAAGAAACATTGCTTGACTAGGAGAGTACTTTCTATGACTGTCATTAATTATGAAAACGGTTGTCAGCCACTATATCCAAAAGGCTAAGAGGATTCAACAATTGACACAGACGGGAAATTTCACGTAAGTTTATTGAGACCAAAATTATGTCAATCACCAATTATAAATCCTACCCTAACACTGGCAAAAAGTTAAGAAATTTGGACATGGAACAAAAACTCAGAGATCACACACATTACCTTAAGCTATCTGTCTCTCCCTGGCTGAGATGTTCTTCACAGCCCCGCTCTCGATCCCGGTGTACCGCACTCTCCCCCTCCTATGTTCCTACAGGCCCTCTATATACAACCCCCCACAGGGGGGAGGGGGAGATCTGCTGTTGCTACCCACCAAAAGTGTACAAACACTCAAGAAATATTTCAATAAGCTTGTTTGACATTCACCATACACTCTTCAAGAGAGGAGTTATTAATTATGTGTGACTGACCTCTGACCTGGCCAAAAGGGGGAGATCCAGGGATGTTTACACATAAGTATCTGGAGTCTAATTCCCTTACATGAAATATTACATACTTGAAACTATGCTGACTAAGACTAACCCAGGAATTTTTAATCAATATACAAGATAAACCGGAGGTCATCTGGGCTGACCTCTTGGAGAAGGCTTCCCTGGGTGTGAACTCTAAGGGGGGGGGGGGGAGGTCCTGGGTGTTACACCTTAATGGAGCCCTGTTGCTTATGCATCGTTAAACGCCTAGAAAGAGATGTTGTTGTCTTGCCTATATACTGGTTTTTTTGGAGCTTACAGTCCCCAAGAGGGCATTTGAAGGCATAGACGACGTTGGTCTCTTTTAAAGCGTTTTGCTTTGTGTCTGGAGAGTTTCTCATGAGTAGGCTGGCCGTTTTTCTGGTTTTATAGTAAATCGTCAGTTGTATCCTCTGATTTTTGTCTGTAGGGATAACGTTTCTATTAACAATATCTTTCAGGACCCTTTCCTCCGTTTTATGAGCTGTGGAAAAGAAGTTCCTGTAAAATAGTCTAATAGGAGGTATAGGTGTTGTGTTAGTTGTCTCTTCAGAGGTTGCATGGCGTTTCACTTTCCTTCTTATGATGTCTTCGACGAAACCACTGGAGAAGCCGTTGTTGACTAGGACCTGCCTTACCCTACAGAGTTCTTCGTTGACTTGCTTCCATACTGAGCTGTGGCTGAGAGCACGGTCGACATATGCGTTAACAACACTCCTCTTGTACCTGTCTGGGCAGTCGCTGTTGGCATTTAGGCACATTCCTATGTTCGTTTCTTTAGTGTAGACTGCAGTGTGGAAACCTCCGCTCTTTTCCATGACTGTTACATCTAGAAAGGGCAGCTTCCCATCCTTTTCCATCTCGTAAGTGAAACGCAGCACGGAACTCTGCTCAAATGCCTCCTTCAGCTCCTGCAGATGTCTGACATCAGGTACCTGTGTAAAAATGTCGTCAACATACCTGCAGTATATGGCCGGTTTCAAGTTCATTTCGACTAAGACTTTTTGCTCGATGAAGGAGGCATTTGAGCAGAGTTCCGTGCTGCGTTTCATTTACGAGATGGAAAAGGATGGGAAGCTGCCCTTTCTAGATGTAACAGTCATGGAAAAGAGCGGAGGTTTCCACACTGCAGTCCACACTAAGGAAACGAACATAGGAATGTGCCTAAATGCCAACAGCGACTGCCCAGACAGGTACAAGAGGAGTGTTGTTAACGCTTATGTCGACCGTGCTCTCAGCCACAGCTCAGAATGGAAGCAAGTCGACGAAGAACTCTGTAGGGTAAGGCAGGTCCTAGTCAACAACGGCTTCTCCAATGGTTTCGTCAAAGACATCACAAGAAGGAAAGTGAAACGCCATGCAACCTCTGAAGAGACAACTAACGCAACACCTATACCCCCTATTAGACTATTTGACAGGAACTTCTTTTCCACAGCTCATAAAATGGAGGAAAGGGTCCTGAAAGATAGTTAATAGAAACGTTATCCCTACAGACAAAAATCAGAGGATACAACTGACGATTTACTATAAAAACCAGAAAAACGGCCAGCCTACTCATGAGAAATTCTCCAGACACAAAGCAGAACGCTTTAAGAGAGACCAACGTCGTCTATGCCTTCAAATGCCCTCTTGGGGACTGTAAGCTCCAAAAAAAACCAGTACATAGGCAAGACAACATCTCTTTCTAGGCGTTTAACGATGCATAAGCAACAGGGCTCCATTAAGGAACATATAATCTCTTCCCACAACCAAACCATCGCCAGAGAAATCCTAGTAAACAACACAGAAATCATCGATAGATACAGTGATAGCAGGCGGCTTGACGTCTGCGAGGCTCTACACATCAAGAAGTCAACACCAGCAATCAACAGCCAATTAATGCACAACTACATTCTACCCACCTCAAGACTCCGCTCCAATATAGAAGCATCAAGAAATATGGACCGATAGGCTTTCTACAAATCACTTCCATTCAATACCCATTGTTTCGTGTTCTGTCTTGTGTTTAGGAATTTAATACCCTATTAATACCACCTCACCCCATCCACCTCACTCAAATGTAGATATAAACAAATCGAAGATGTGTAAGTTCTATTCAGTTGTGTATGTGTAAGCTAAAGTCTTTGAAAATGTAATAAGTTTTACGAAACGCGCTC